ATATATATATATATATATATATATATATATATATATATATATATATATATATATATATATATATATATCATATTTGTGTCTCACACAAATTTTGGTGCTATTGTGGACAAGCAAACACTGAAATCAAAGAAAAGGTGGGGTACAAGTTCAATAGCCTGAATCAGTATTTTGTGAATTGGTAGCTGAACAATAATTCACGCTTCATCGATCCGGGGGAGTCCTCTTGTGAATAAATAATGACAACGACAATCCCCTGTCTCAGAATTGACCTATTCTACAGTGAAGTAAGATGGTGTCGTCATAATGCCATGGTTCCCTAAAAGCGGGGATTCTTGGTTTTGATGCCTTTTGGTGAATCTCCAACTAGTTGATCCAGCCACTGTCCTGCTGTCTTCTGCTAACCCTTAAATGGTCGGCTGTCTACTTAGTTGGCCCCTTGGAAAGCTAAATAAACAAATGTAAATGTAAATTAATTAACAGTTCTGTGATAGCCATCCTATGGTATGACATCTTTCCATTATTACCCAGCCTCCCTTGCCCTCGGAACAGAATAGAAGAATAGTCCTTAGTTAAATCGTATTCTTGCAGATATCACTGGATCACTGGATGCATTCCAGTCTGTGGGAAACTCATCATATCTCTCAATTTAATCGTAAAACAGATGTGTTGAGTTTGAAAGCTCATTGCACAGACCTTCCCTTCATTTTGAGAAACTTTGTGGGAAAAATTAAATTACTTCTGGGATTATGAGCTTTCTGTTGTCACATGCTTCTCTTTTTCTTGATGTGGAATGGAAATACAGACAATCTATCCATTTTCTACCAGCTTATCCTGGTCAGTGTGACGGGATGGGCCACACACACACACACGCACGCACATGTAGGGTATACATATTCTTATGGGGACCGCTCATTCACACACACACACACACACACAGGTTTGTAATTATATCTTTGTGGGGACTCTCCATTCATTTCTATGGGGAAAACTCTAATCCCAACATGACAACCTTACCCCCTACCCAGCCGTAACCTTAACCATAAGTAACCAAACAAAATACAACACTTTTGGCATTCTTACACTCACAAACACACGCACACAGACAGGTTTTTGGAGAAACTGCATGTCTTTAGATTGTTTGCCCTGAGGAAACTCACACAACACAAACAGATTCAAACCCTGGACCATGTTCAGCACTACCCACTGAGTAACCCTGCTGCCCCAAATGCAGATAATAATTGTGTGATTTATCATAAAATTATCATCATTGTAGGTTATAGCACTTTTTTGTAAAGTACATTCAAAGTCTTTCCTTAGAAATAGGAAATAATTATCGAAACGATACAGATTGTAACTGTTACGATTAGTGTCATAAAATCCAACCAATTAAAATACATTACAATAAGATACAATAAAGTTAAAGCACAATAAATATAGAACTCGGACATAAAAAAGTAAAAAAATGCTAATTACATAGCAGTAAAAACAAAAGTCTAATAAAAAGGCAGTTTTTAGATGAGGAAACGGATTTTACCCTGTTTGAAATGCAGAGGTAGACTGTTTTAGAGCCTTGGTGCATTTGCTACAAAGGCACAGTCCCCTCTCATTACAAAGGTATTCCTTTGGAGCCTAGGAGTTGCTGTGTTGGTAGACCTAAGGGGAAACATATGGAGACAGTAACTCTGAAATGTGTTTGGGGAATAATTCATGCACGACCTTAAAAGTAATTAATAAAATCTTAAAAATGACTGAAAAGATATGGGTAGCCAGCATTAGCGAAGCCAAGCCTGGGAGAACAGCCCAGTCTCAGCTTAGCTACAGGGCTCGATTGCTACAGGACTTGATAGTTACAGGTCTCGATTGCTACAGGGCTTGATAGCTACAGGGCTTGATGGCTACAGGGCTTGATGATTCCTATCGTATAGAAGATGAGGGCTATTGATACAGTTCAGGGCAACTTAAAGTGGGCAGAATGGCAACTATCAACACTGCCGTTAGAAAGGAGAATTTATATTATGTTTCATGATTTTTGGTGATCTCATTTGTTCCATTTTATTTTGCATTCTTGGGAGAAGAGAGAGATAAAATGTTAGCACAGCATTTCCTGCTTTGACAGTAAACTGACATGCACCGTTTCCTCTTCCTCTGTCCCCGGCAGTGCAGTTCAACCTGATCCCGGTGGGTCTGCGAATTGTGGCCATCCAGGGCACCAAGTCAGGCCTCTACATCGGCATGAACAGCGATGGATACCTGTACACCTCAGTAAGTCCGTAGCGTTTATTGTAAGTGGTATTTTTTTGTCACTGCTCTCAGGCAACTGCTACCGTCTGAGAATATTTTTGTGGCTGGGATTCATGCTGTCAGTATAAGCAATGTGTTTTTAAGACTGTTATTACCAACTATTACCAGTGTGACTGTGACTATTCTCACCGAAGATGGATGTAACCAGGATCATTAATATCAGCATTATCAATGGGGCAGGGGGAGGGGTACTACAACTGGAAAACTAAAAATACTACAAGTCTTGTATTTTGATTGGTTACTTTTGGGGGTGGGAGGGGTGGGGGGGTTTGTTGTTCATGCCGTATCATGCAGGTTTCCTCTTTCTGTCCATAGATGTGTCTTGTGGCCCTTGTGGGTGTGGGTATATGCCCAGTGATGGACTGGGATAGGCTCCAGGGGCCCTAACTAGTGTAAATGGTGGGAATATAAATGTGTTTTTTTATTCTGTTTATTAGCCATGATGTCAGCAGCTGCAGCTGCAGATTTCAGTTTGATGATGCTCTGCTTGTGAAACCCAGAAGATTAGCCCAGCAAAAAACAGTTACTTTAACCCACATGGAGGGCCTGTACCTCGTCTGGTCAGCTGTTTTCCTTCTAATCATCCAGCTAATCATCTCTGTTATACTGATCTCACTCCGAGTTCCACTTTGGTATGAAAAAGCCTTGAAGCTTCATCCTTGCATGTCAGACCAATTCAGCAATGAGAGTTCATGATGTCGGGATGAGCTCTGTGGTTCGCTGCAGGATGACCACTGCAGTGCCTCATTTAGACAGTGACTAAAGTTTAAATGCCATCTGTACAGCAAAGAATGGGAGTTTCAGGTTTCTATAAAACCATTCTATAGAAGCTATGTTTTTCATCAGATCTGGAAAGAGAACCTGGATTATAATGCTGGGTCATTCTGACTTACTGACAGTCGGATAAGCAAAGAATGATGGGAATGTTAAGAGGCAAGAGATTCTTTTCAGAAGCACGGGCAGCTGAAATGCGTCCGCAGGGCGGACTCAGGTGAAAATGGTGAGGGGCCACTGTGCCTGGGCCACGACGAGTCATGATAAAATTGGACTGGTCAGTGATTCACTATGTCACTTCTAGGTCCAGTTTGCTCTCATTGTACAAACAAACACGTGGTGATTAAAATCTGGTTTACAGCAAGGAATCTTTCATTCCTCGACATGCCCTGCCCTAAACACTAAGGGCTGGTTTTTACTTCACGCGGACGCGGTAGTGGCGCACGAGGCCGCACAACACTCAAAAGTTATCACGACGCGGACGCTCCACTCAGTGATGCAAGTGAACCTTGATTGCTCACTGGCCAGGTGAACAGTAACTTGAAGTCATAAAGCAGTCAGACCAAACATTGTGTATAAGCCCATTTTCTACTGTCTGTGATCAGAATAATAGCAAAAATGGCTAGCGGATTTGAAGAATGGCTGACTGAGAAAGTCCGGAACTACCAGCATTTATATGATTTTGCGTTAGTTTTGGTTTTCAGTGTGGTTTCATTAGTTTTTATTTTTTAAATGTACATCTATTTAGTTGTTATATTTTACTTTACATTTTATCCTAACGCTTTATATTAACTGCACCTTTATAATGCATTTGTAGCACATTCAGTGCACAGACTTTGTAGTGTACTTCTCCTACCAAACTCTACACACCAGTCATATCACTGCACAAAAGATACGATGATATGATTGGTGTGTAGAGTTTAGTAGAACAGCACCATCCCAGACCTGCTGTCAAAGTTTATGGTTGCCTAGTGTGTCGGCACTAGAATTAAAAACATTCAGAATCGCAGATGGTCCGTAAAAACCAGCCATAAGACACCCTACCTTATGAATTGATTATCTATATACACTATACCTGTATATACAAAAGTATTTGGGCACCTGGCCAGGGGAGTTTCTAGCTATTGAAAAGATCAAGGGCTAAATCAGGTTTACTTAGGGCTTGACATTTCTTTCTTCTTTTTTTTTTTTGAAGGAAGGTCGGCATCGGAGCTAAAATACTTGGGGCTATAGCCTTGAGTGATCAGACCTCACGACGCCCATACACCTGGCCATTAAACCTTTTATGACATCCCATTCTAAATCCATAGGCATCAATGTGGACTTTGTTCCCTCTTTGCAGTTATAATAGCTGCCACTCTTCTGGGAAGGCTTTCCACAATATATTGGAGGGTGTCTGTGTGAATTTTTGCTCATTCATTCAGAAGAACATTTGTGAGGTCAGGCCACAGACGTTGGACGTGAAGGACTGGCTTGCAATCTCCATTCTAGTTCATCCCAAAGGAGTCTGATGAGGTTTAGGTCAGGGCTCTTTGCAGACCAGTCAAGTTATTCCTCATCATACTGACCCAATCATGTCCTTATGGACTTTGCTTTGCATGCTGGGACACAGACATGTTGGAACAGAAAAGGGCCCACAAAGCTGGAAGTATAGACTTGTCCAAAATGCCTTGGTATGCTGAAGAATCAAGAGTTCCCTTCACTGGCCAAGGCCAGTCCCTGAAAAACAACCCCGTATCATTATCCCTCCTCCACTAATCTTAACAGTTGGCATAATGCAGTCAGGCATGTTCTCCTGGCATCTGCCAAACTCAGTCTCATCCATCAGACTGCCAAATAGAGAAGCTTGATTCATCACTCCACAGAGCATGTTTCCACTGCTCCAGAGTCCAATGGCGGTGTGCTTTACATCACTGCATCTGATGCTTGGCATTGTGTTGCTGATGTGAGGCTGCATGCAGCTGCTCGGCCATGGAAGCCCATTGCATGAAGCTCCCAGCACAGTTTTTGTGCTGGGGTTAATGCCAGCGGAAGTTTGGAACTCTGCAGTTATTGAGTCAACAGAGTACTGGCGACTTTTATGCACTATGCACCTCAGCACTAGGCGACCCCACACTGTTACTTTACATGGTCTGCCAGTTTGTAGCTGAGTTTGTTGTTCCTAAACGCTTCCACTTTGCAATAATGCCACTTACAGTTGACCGTGGAACATCTAGCAGGGAAGAAATTTCACAAACTGACTTATTGTAAAGGTGGCATCCTTTGACAGTACCAAGCTTGAATTCACTGAGCTCTTCAGAACGACCCATTCTTTCACAAATGTTTGCAAACCTGACTACATGGCTAGGTGCTTTGATTTTTTACACCTGTGGCAATGGGTCTGAATGAAACACCTGAATTCAATGATTAAGAGGTGTGTCCCAATACATTTGTCTATGTAGTGTAAGTGCTCCATGTCAGTGGCCGTATCTTTCAGATATTAATCTAAATGCTAGTTTTCCCTACATGTGGCTGGGGGTATGAGACCAGGGGCAAAGATTAAGCAGGTTTAAATGACAGAAACCTCCATACTGTAATCTAGAAAATGCATTAAAAGGAAAACATTGTTATCATGTGCTTGATCTTCACATGGTCTCAGACCTGATGGTGCTCCAAGTTGCATTTATCAGTGTGATACTGCATTCAAGCCTCCTTTAAATGAACAATAAGAACAGCCACACTAAATCTGTATGAATCGTCTTTTAAGGTTCATAGTTGGCTGCCATGTAATATTATATTAAACTATTTTATCTATTGTTTTTTGTTAAAAACTCAAAGATAAACATACCCCCAGGAAGATTTTGAGATTTTGCGGTTCTATATAAAATCAAAATTAATGTTGGGGCTTACTTGCTACCTGATCTATAAATAGACTAGGCCTCTGACATAATTGTGATATTGTGGAATGTCTGTGTGTTAACAGGGGATGCTGTTTAGATTTCTGTGGAGATTTTCGCTAAAGGTCAACGACTTTCTAAATTTCCCAAGCTGCCTCTCTTGTCATTTTATTTTTAAACTCTTACATCATACTTCTGACTTGAGTAGCAGGACAGTGCAAAGTTCACCGGGTCAGACGCCGACTCGAGACTCTTTAATCATTCCAGCAAAATAGCACTTGAAAGACAAAGTGTTCTTTTAATTAATCAGCAGTTTATGCTAATGAACCTGTATTATTTTGAAAGTGTAAGTTTTTAACTTAATGAAATGGGAACATTTTCAAGGTCATTTTGTTTTTTAATGTATTTAAAATATTTACAACATAGCATTTTGTTAAGTTCTTGTGTGAATATTATACAGGCATATGCATTTCCAGAAGCTTAAATAAGCAGTTATGAACTTGGTCTGAACATTCAGTGGAAATGTTGTGGAAACTTAATTGTTGAATAATCTGATTTTGACTTTGATAATCCCCAGCTAGTTGATTGAGGGGCGACACGGGTCTGGTTCACACGTTTGCCTCAGCATATCTGAGTTTGATCTGAGGTCCTCCTAGGACCTGGTACATGCTGTGAAGTCCAGTGTCTGTCAGATCTCCAGCCAGTTATCGGCCAGATGCGGCTAAGCCCGGTAACACGCTGCCCGATGCATCTTTGACTAGCATCGCCTGAGTGCGTGTGAACATGCAGCCTTAAGAGGTTTCCCCAAGTGTGGGCAGCTTCTGAAAGTTGCATCCTTGGATTAAGGTATTGACTGCAAAGTAATGGCTTCCCTAATGAGTGCTGTCTATGCAGAGGATGGTATTATATGTGTAACAGTGCAGAATAATCAAACACTGTGCCTGACCAAAGCTGCGTAGTCAACAATGGAGTGCAGTGACTCATCTCGGTTACAGGGAAGGCTGCGTTAACCTCGTTTATTCTCTTGGGATCCTGGCGTCCCAAAATTCCCAGAAATCACATCAAAAGTTTTTGTCGAAGTGTGAAGATCGCACTAAATTCCCGCATCTTTTCACAAATACAAAGCAGTTATATACATACGGCCAAAATTTTGAATCTCAATCCTATGACAGAAACATGATATACAGTATTTGCTCAATTTGTGTAAAACATTGTTTTAACATTCAAGCAGCACATATTTGTTGATCAGCACTGTTTATGCATATTTTCATATGTTAAAATTGATATGTAAGTATCGTTTACCAATTATGT